TGTTCTTAAAACTTGAAGACTGGGCTATGGGCATCCAACAAGTTTCGTGGTTACTGTGCTAACATAATTCATATCGGGTCTTTGGTTGAAAAAGTCATCAAGTTGACTTGACTTTTTGTAAAAATTGTAAAGAATGTCTACAATTAACCTAAAATTTAATCAATGACGGCTGACAACGTGGAAATGTCAGTTATATACAACAGTACGGATTAATAAAACACATGTGTTTTTTGCTACGTTTCCTTTCATCAAAAAAGCAACGTCAACTTGATGACTCTTTCAACTGACAACTCGTTAGAAAGTAAATTTAAGTTTCTGCGGAAACTTTTGTTTCCTAAATAAGAATAGTAGGTATATAAAGTAGCCGTCACAATAAGCTGAACGCCTCAAGCGCTCAATAAACCCCTAACCACAGCTTATAGATGCCATAAATTTGGGCCGGATGCCGCGTGTCATTCAGTTAGTACAGGGTAGTACTTAAATAAGAGATATGCTGTGCCCAAACATTGTTTTGAACGCGAGATGTATCAGCGGTAGGAGCATTTAACTTGCTTAGAAATTTTTTTGAATACATCCCTGTTCCGGACGGGCCCATAAGTGGAGAGTAATAAAAATTACAACCGTCCTGATCACTTCAATAAGTGACAGCACGACCGCGCCTCAGGCAGCATTCGGTATATACAACGTGTTATTGAAGGGTACGTACAAAATAAAATCGGCAATTGTTCTAGAAGTATAGGTGCTAAAAGTAAAAAAAAGTTCAGGTAAAAGTGTTCGCCTTTCAGAGATAAAAATTATTAACATGTATGTCCAAATTCGTTGTACGCCTCTGATAAAAAGGTCATCTTTCGTTTCTATAGCAACAAAAAGGTCTCTTATTTTTTATTTAAGACTCACCACTGACCCGGAAATGACCGGCATTCAGGCAAGACTTCTATCATTACGGGTACTAAGACCAAGTAATGATATGCATTGATTAGATTATTATTGTTACAGTTGCTAGGATTTACTAAAATAAATTAATTTTACCTATTTATCCTTCAGTAGCGTCTAAAAAGGTTGGATAAGGGTTAATTTTCCCCTTCAAATTTTTATAACAAAATCAATTTTTCAGATTTCTTAGAGTCCGCGAAAAACTGTCAATTTTGTTATACGTACCTTTCAATAACACCCTGTATTGACGACTACTTTACTGGGCACATTTTTTTTAGAACTTTTTTAATTTAATTTTCTTGTGTAACATGTTACGAGTATGTTACATAAGAAAAGTTTCAGATAGGATAAGGAAACTCAACGAATTTTTGTGTGATCGATTTTGTATTTGTTTAACGTTCTTGAAATAGCTTGATTAGCTGATCTTCCATGAATGTTCTTGTAAACAACTTATTGCGTCTTTTAATATCCTCTTTAATATGGTGTAAATAATTAAAGAAGTTTTTCTTCCTTTAATGAAGCGTCAACCAGTAAAATTTTTGTTTCAATTTGTGTGATTTAAATAAACGCAAATAACACTTTTCAAGAACTGTTCATTTTTTTGACGTCCTGAATTATTTTAATCAATCACAAATCTATTGCTATAATTAAAAGTATATGACTTTCAAATTAAAAAAAAATATATTACTCACGTGATATGTACTGTATAATATGTATATTAGCAAAACCGCTGAATATCAGGTTAACGTATAACTAGATACTTCTTCAAGTTCTTGGAATTACTTGCAGTAGAAAATTGAGAATTGTGCTAGCCTGACCTACGACCTTACTGAGACATATTGAGTAAGGGTGACTTTGAAAAAAAATGCAAACAAGCACTGACTCAGTGCACGACAGAGGTCATGAAACACGAAATTTCAATTTGCTACTACAAACAGCAGGCTGTTGTTGGAGAACGATGTTACGCGATGTTGTAAAGTGACGTTCAGCAATCAATATTTTCCAGTACACTAAAAAAGGAGGGATTTCCATTAAAAAAAATTGGTCTAAGATTATTTCGACAGAGCTTTCCTTGCCCATGAAGTACAGTACATCAATTTCGAAAAATTATAAGATTTCATTTTGCGAATTTTATTTTTTTTATGATAGATAACCCTTATAAGTTAAAATAAAGATATGTATGTAAAGTTAAAACGTTGATTTTCTATGTTGTAACTAATAATGGGTTAATTATAACTTGTCTAGGACTAGGGAAAGCAAAACTTTTTCTTTGGGGATGCTTAGCCTCCCTTGGGCTCCCCCTAACTATGGTCCTGTCTAGGATTTAATGTAACGTCGAGAAAATATGACAGTACCAAGTCGCCTAATGGACTTGATTGCTATACTTCCTTAGCTTACGCTCATTAACTGAAAATGACCTCTCGGCAATAACAAATGTTTATGTTTATTCATCAGAAGAATGTCAGATATAAACAAGTTTGATTTGAATGAGTTTGTCGCCTCTAAACAGAGGATTAAAATATATTAGTTAAGCCACAATCGAACAAAATGTTGTCAAGAAACAATGGGGTGAGATATATTTTAATTAAAAATTTACTATGCTTGCGATAATCTTCAAACATCTGCAAGATTTCAAAAACATTCCATTTTGCAGTTACTGATTTCACCCCTTATCTTTTTTTAATCACCCTTTATGTGGAATCCTAAAAATATGAAAGAAATGATAAATCATAAGTATAGGCTCATAATATTTTGCACATTTTCGCGCTGATCCAGTAAGCGCTTCCAGTTAAATTCTGACTTCAACAGAACGACAGAAGATGCTGACAATATCCACCTTCTTCTTCAATACAAGGTGCAACACTCTTCATGCCATCAAAACTTTTTGTAAAAGGTGAGATGCATTTTTCGATAACGTTTCGTTGTAAATCTTGCAGAATATGTACTGGTGTCTTCAAAATGGTGTTTTATAACATCACAAACAGAAAGTATTCAAGAGGAATAATATCATACGGACTTGGTGGAAGGTGTTTCGAGCTACATGTGGTCGGGCATTATTCTAGCTGTTGTAAAATATTGTTTTACTGCCTTTCAAAATGAATAGATCCTTAAAAAAGATGGGGCTAACTATTCTTCTTTGTGAAAGAGCCACCCAAAGATCTATCTTCGGGCAATGGAAGGGAGCTTCTCTGATAAAATTAGGAATGTCAATCTCCATTACTTATGAGTTCACGTATCCGGGTAAATAAAACCATATCTAAAGTTTTGTCATCAAGATTGTCCTGGAACCAAGTACACTACTTTTAGCTTCCTGAGCCTAAACAAAGGAAGTATTGTAATCAAGTCCGTCGGCCGACTGTTTACTTACGTTTTCTCGACCTCTCAGGACACCTACAGAAAGAAGGAATAGGTCCCCATTTTCATCTGTCTACCCGTCTGTCCGTCTGTCTGTCCGTCTGTCTCTCCGTTTGTCTGTTTGTCTGTCCGCCTGCCGTCCCGATTTTTATTAGACAGATAGTCCCCGAAAGTACTAGACCGATAGTTGTCAAATTTTGTATTTAGGAATGTCATGTAAATAGCAAAACGCTAACCAAAATTTGTTTAATCATCCTCGCCAATAATGTGATGACGTCACTTCAAAATTGTGCATAGTAAATGAGTTTTAAATTGCATGAAATAACATGTAGTTTATGATTCCGTATTGAGTTTTTACCCGAAACGTCCAGATTTTCGAAAAAAAAAAAAATCAAAATTATAAACAACATTTTGCAATTTAATTTTGAATGTGCAAAACCGAATGCTTTGTAATCTTGCAGATGTTTTACAGTTATGGTAAGCATAATAAATGTTTAATTAAAATATATTTAATTATCCCCTCCAAAAAATTGATGACGTCAGTTTAAAATTTTGCCGAATATATCCTGTCTAAAATATGCAAACTATGGTCAGTATATACTTCTAATTTAGTAATTTATTACTGCATTGAAAGTTTTTAGATTTGCTTAAGCAGGATGACTCAAAAAAATTAATGAATCAGTCTATTTATTTTATTGAATAAATCAAGAATTGCAAAACTGAATACTTTGAAATCTTGCAGACGTTTTAAAGTTATTGTAAGCATGGCAAATTGTTAATCAAAATTTATTTGTTTATTCCCCCAAAATATTGATGACATCATGTCAAAATTTTGCCAAATAAATTCTACCCAGAATGTGCAAAATATGATGAGTTTTTACTTGTGATTTATCATTGTATTCGTATTTTTTAGGTTTATTTATACAGGTGGCCCAAAAAAATTAATGAATGAGTGAATTTATTTTATTGATTAAATCAGGAATTTTTCCAGGACATTTTTGGAATACAACACTATATATTTTTAGTATTACACTGCACCAATGTTGAGATATGTACATGACCTTGCAAACATGTTGATGACTCATCACAGAATTGTGTAAAGAAAAAACTCAACCCGAAAATGCTAGATATGTTTCACTGTACTCCAGGAGCGAGGGAAGTTATGTCGAAACAACTTTCGACCAATTTTTGTTAAATGGTTTGTACCGTAACTAAGATGTTTTTCTTATGTTCACTTTCAACTCGTTTTCTAGCAGCTCCCTTTTTTTCACTACACTACCAGTGTGTTCAATCATCAATTACTACCACTTCGGAAAAATCCTCACGAAACTCGTTTAAACATAAAAGTGGATAAATCCTCCCTCTATTTTCTAAACGTTGAGAACTTTTGTAATACGACTGTATCATGAAAACTGTATGTTCTTGAGATTTTTTTTTATTTTAATGTCAAATTTCCCAGTTCCAAAAATAATAAAAATTTATGTGAATTTAGTGAATTGTTTTTGTTTTATTACTGTATGTACCAATCAAAGTCACTGTATAATTAATGAATAATCACAAATCAGTAATAAGCGAGTAAGATAGTATTCGCTAACTCAGTGGAATTAAAAAAACGGAAGTTTCCATGTTCTTTTTTAATATGCTCTGTTGCAGTAAATTTCAGGGAAAAAAATTTTCAAACTAAGATGCCCTTGAAGTTTTGACACATTTATATGTCACAATTATTTTGAAACATTTTTTTAGAATTGTGAATTGTTTGTAGTAAAGTACAAATTGTAAAACACTAATGTTCTGTATACACAAAAAATGAGTGGAGAGTGTTATTCTGCTAAGAATTTGTCCACAGAACATACGTCTAAAAAAGGTGAGTCTATATGGAACTGTAAAATAACTACCTACATTATTTTACTTTTAAAAACAAAATTCTTCGTCAAGTAAATTTACTATTTTTCTGAGTTCAAGGCATTCTTATACTAAACATAACAGATGTTGTAGAAAACAAAACAGTGGACAATATGAATTTAGAACATACTCCATCACAATGTGAAGATAATCAGCAGCTTCTACGTAATGTGGTTGATATTTATAATTCTTGCAATTATTATTATTTTGTAGGGTACGAAACAATGGTCTCCTCTGCGGAAAACAAGTGCTCTCAACTGAAAGGACAACTTGAAAGGATGAGAATAATGTACAACAATCAAAGTGAAGCTGCGAGAAATTCCACAGCTCGATCTGCTGACGCTAGCCTAATGAAACCAGTTGGTAATTTACGCATAAATATATTTGTTCAGTCCTGATTTCATATGTTTGGAACCTTATATAGGGATGCTCGACATGAAAAACTATAATTTTATGAAATCGACGAAAAAGGTGCGACAAAACTCGCAGGCAATTAGGACTGATCACACCGGCGCTGCATTAGGTACAATAAACAATATTTTCGCAGGAATTACAAAACCTATAGGTTTGAAAGAATTTAGCCAACCAGAAATTCACAAAAAATTGGATGAAAAAATTTCTGAGCAATTAGAGAATGTGGAAGATCCACTACATGGAGTTGAAGAAGTCAAAATTAATACAAAATCGAAGCAATCAATTCGTGTTAGATCCAAGGCAAAATTTTATCTCAGAAAAAGCAAACCTAAAGTTGTGTCAATAACTTCATCAACTAATTTAAAGAAAACAAAAAGAACACCCATCAAACTTTCGATAGAGAAACGACATACGATAGGAAGCGATATTCAAGTAAATGCTCCTAAAACAGGCGTTCCAATAATGACAACACGTAGCAGAAAAATGGTTTTAAATTCAAAACATCGAGTACTTGATTGTGACCCATCACAAGACACATACAGTTCCATTCGTAGGTACACGCCACAACATGCTGACTTAGTTGAAATATATCACAATACAGCAGTCAAAGAAACCAAATCTAGTGACAGCGACATCCCCAAACAGAGAAATTCATCAAAATCCAAAAAAGCCGAAACGGATGTTAATTTAATCCCACCACTCAAAATTGAGCGAAATGAAAATGATAATCAAGAAATCGTTAGCAGTAGTTATAAAAATTACACACAACCAACAATTTCTTCTAGAATGAAACAAGCAGCAAAGTACTACATGAATTCATTTAATATAAAGACGATACCATTCTGTCCTGTCACTTCTACATCGCCCAGTCACAATATTGGCATTAACATTCAGCAAGTAATGAGTATGGTTAAAAGTAATCAACCAGTTGGAAGATTATCTCCTACACTTGCTTACAACATTGGTTTAGCGGCAGGCAAACGAGAACAAAATCAGTTTCCTTTCCTAGTTTCCAGTATAGCAACAAGGTCTCTCTGGTAAATCACACTTTACAGCAATCGTTTCTTACGCAATTAGTTCGTTCGCAGTTTACAATGCCCTTTAAACAGAAGTGCCGTTAATTATCAACAGTTGCAAGAAATAGCAAAAACTATTCCACAAGAAATTATAGAAGAACCAGAAGAAATTGAAGACATTCCATCCCCCGACACACAATCTCTAATAATAACAGGACCATCTGGTGATGTTAAAGTAAAGAATCGTAAACAGACTGTCTGGAGCGCTAATACAGATGAAAAACGATGTACTTGTGTAGTTTCTAAAGGTGTGGGATTCCAGCAAATCGTCAACAAGTTTAATAACACTATTTCTAAAAACTCCAAGGTAAAATAAATACGAAACTAATATTTTCTTCTATTACGTTGTCTGCAGCAATTTTGCACTGTACCACCAGTAACTTCCGTTGAAATTAAAGAACAAAAAATAGATAATAGAGGTGGTGGTGAAGAATCAGAGCCTACTCCACTGCAAAATAAAGAAAAAAAGTTAAAAGAAGTTTTAGGAAAACTCCACGAAGAATTTGAAAAAATGACATCGTAAGAATAAATTTCAAAATTAAAGTGGATATTTCGTTAGTTCCAATGTGTATCTATATTTTAGAAGAAAAATTCTTCTAAAACTTGACACCTATAGCTTATAGATGGGGGTCGGAATTTTCTGAACAATTTTCTTTACTTCATACATATTTACCTACTTGCTAAGGAAATCTCCTCTTGACCCAAGTTTTCCTTTTTTGCTATTTTAGTGAATAACTTTAATTCATATATTATTTTTTACAGAACATATGACGAGTTAGCGAAAAAAACAGAGAGAGGAAATGCACATCCAGAAGTCTTAAAACAATTGGAAACTTTAGATAAAGAACTGAATAGTAAGGAAGAAGAAATTATTATGGTTATGTCTCTGTATAAAGAAGTACTAGCTTTAAAACAGCAAGTTAAAACCCTGAAAGAACGTACGAGCAGAGAAAATGTTTCTATTAAATCACAGCAAACAAAATTCAATGGATGCAAAAACATCGCAACCGCACAACTTTTAAACAAACTCCTCCAACGTGTCCAGCATTTTCAGACCCATTATAAAAAAAAATAAAATCTAAAGCTCTTTATTAAAATGTCAATAATATGTTTGTATCTTATTATTCAACATTTAATACACCCACTAAGTAGCTGAATTGTCACTCATAGAGAAAATGTAATAAACAGAAAATATGACATCGAGACAGCAATAAGAATCACGATCAACAACAGCTAGGGATTTTTAAGATTTGTCTTTAATAGAATTTTCAAAATTTTCATCTTGTCGGATTAAGCGTATTTTGAAAGTTTGAGTTGCAACCTTCAAAATTCATGATTGTCTTTAATTGTGTTTTTTGTTGTTCTGTCGGTATTATAATAAGATATGATTTTTTTCAGGTTGGCAACATTTTTAAAATTTTTGATAGCATACCCGATTGTCAAATTGACCATAGATATACATATACTAACATTGCTACTAATAATTCAAAATTGACAAAAAATTGTTACAACCATTAATAGTACGATAGTCGCACGGTATATTATATATATTCACGATCTATTAAGACCTTGGTTCTTTGGTTGGCCATTTTTATTTCTTTTTTTTTATTGGCTACCATGCCTGATTGACGTGTTTTTTTTTTCTGTCATATCTGACACATATTTTTCATGCATGTTAATTTGCCACCTTTCAGGTACCAGATTTTTTTTTCTATTTTTACTTTCCGAGCGAAGTATTGTAATCGAGTCCATCGTACGACTTGCTACTTTTATATTTTTTCGACATCTCATGACCCCTACAATAGGAAAAATGTGGTCTCTCATTTCCATCTGTCTGTCTGTCTGTTTGTCTGTTATCTGTCTTGATTTTTATTAGACCGAAACTACTGGATCGATTGTTGTCAAACTTTGCATGTAATTATATTACGAATATCATGTAAATGGTACAACGCTAACTAAAATTTCGTTAATCGTCCCCTCCAACAATTTGATAATGTCTCCACATTTTTTTAGTAAGCGTCAAAGCGTCATTTCAATTTTATAAAATAACATTCTCCTACACTTGTAGTTAATGCATCCGCATTGATTTTTTACCCTTGCCATCCAGATTTTCGAAAAAAAATCCAAATTGTATAAAATTTTATACTAGTTTGAGCGGCACATGAATTATTATTAATTTATTACATCAATGGCCGATGAGACGGCGTCTCCGCTTTGTAACTCGGAGGTCCCGCGTTTGAAACGCATATATTAGAGAAAGTTTTTTTTTGAACCGTGACTCTTATTATTTATATATATATATTTTTTAATTTATAGAAAATTATCACCAAAAAAAGGGATCTTTAAAGAAACGGAACTTGTCGGACTGCACCTTTAGGGGCGAGGGAAGTGGAAGTTCTGTCTAAATCACATTAGGCCAATTTTCTAAAAACTCACTTACATGTTATTACTTTGCACCGCCTGACAATAAACTCATTACATTTAATTTAATTTGTTAATATTTATAAAATGTATTCTGATTTTTGCAGTAAAAATTATTTTCATCAGTTTTAATTAATGATATTATTTTCAATTTTCTTGGATTTGCTAAGGATTGAGTTTATACCCAAAAACACCGTTATGTAAGTAAACAGTTTACTGCCACTTGTTTTTGACGAATTGTCAGCAGATTTTCGTATTAAGTATTCAGTTCACCCATAAAACCTGAGAACTTTGCTTTATTTGTAGAAAACGTTTTCAATAATTTAATAGACATTTATTTGCTCTATACTGAGTCAATTAAAAGTTTAACAAAAAATCTCTGATAAGAAGTGCGGTGAAATATTTTGTTACTTCATGTTGCGCAACGAAATTAAATGAGTTTTGGCACAGTACATTTTTGACTTTGGAGAGTGTGTCCGGTTCGCAACGTGGTTTCTTCATATGATTTAATTTTGTTAAAAATAATTTATTTCTGTGTTAAAATAAAATGTGCCGTGAGCCCGTGAGGGATGTTCAGGGATCGGCGCAGAAGGGAAGGAAGTCCGGACTTAAAGGGTAAATATTGCTATCACGCTTATTTATCCGTTTGTTGTAGAGTTATTCAGATTTTTTATTTAACTCTGTATAACCAGAATTAGGTATTTTAAGCAAATTTGAGTAACTTTAATAAATATAGGTACATTTGTTGAAACTAAGCTCATTGTTCATCATTTTAAATACAATTTAACAATTGTAAATGTTAAATATTGAAAAAGTAAACCAAGTTTCAATAATTCATATCAGTCCGACCGAGTAGCAGAAACACCAGCGTTCACAAAAAAAAAAACTCGACTTTGTTTTCTTTATCGACACAGTTCGTTTTTAAGCTACAATTTTTACTTTATAGTTGGTAGATGAACTGAAAATTTTTTTTTAAAATTTGTCATTAAATTTAAATTTTTATTCATTAATAAGTAGTAACTGTAAATCGTAGTTTTACATGAGTTTTCATATTATGTATTCTAAAATTACAATTTTCTGTGACGTTTCAGAATCCATTTCTAATTTTGACTAAATTTTACACATAGTACTAAATGAATATTACTGATTCCAACTAACAATCGAATTTTTATTGTATCAAGCCCTTTAAAGTGAAAAAATGTGTTTCTTTGTTACCTGCACTGAACGTGTACTGAAATTTTTAGCATGGTGGCTTCTTTTTAGTAACTGAAAATTTTAAAGTCTATAAGCAGAAGAGTTTTAGATCATATTTTAAAATCATTTTTGAAAAAGAGAAATATTTAGCAAACATTTTTGAATGAATTTGCGGTTAATATTTTAAGTTCGAACTGTACCTGTTCTATAAATTTAAGTATTTTAAAATTTGTAGTAGATGGTAACGTTATGCCTAACCTTGCATTATCTGTATTTAAATTATTTATTAAAATCACTAATCTTACTAAAAATTACAAAGTAATTTTTTTAAAAGTGTGTTTTAAGACTGGTCGAATCTCAGGAATGAAACAAATTTTATTTAAATATATCCTTAGACCACTTTTTTTAAAACAGAAGTGTCAATAACCTGATGATTTTTTCTGTTTTTAATAAAACCTTTTTCTGTTTAATATTTGTAAATACTGTGTGTCTAAATCTAATTTTTTAATGTTGACCTTCATCGTTTTTAAGAATGGGCGTTAAGAAAATTTAAGTTAATTTATCGTTTATTGCAGTGGGTTCGTATACGAAGAAGAGGGGACTCGCTGGCAATAGCAGAAAAAGAAGCCATGAAAGTTAGAATTTTATATTTGTCTTTATATGGTGGCAAATACTTAAAATTTTCATTTGCCTTTCTAAAGTTCTTTTTAAAAAAAGAACACGATATTTCTACTTTTCACTTTATTGCGCTGGGTAATTCATCATCCTCCTAGAAATGTATAACCTCGCCTCAAAATTTTGTCGAATAAATCCTATCTAAAATGTACAAAATATGCGTAGTCTATGCTTGTAATTTATCATTGTATTCATATTTTTTAGATTTGCTTATTCAGAGTGACTCTAAAAAATTAATGAATCAGTCAATTTATTTTATTGAATAAATCAAGAATTGCAAAACTGAATACTTTGAAATCTTGCAGATTTAAAGTGATTATAAGCACAGTAAATTGTTAATCAAAATATCTGTTTATTCTCCCCAAAAAATTGGTGACGTCATCTCAAAATTTTGCTCGTGATTTATCATTACATTCATATTTTTTAAATTTTCTTAAACTCTGGTGGCCCAAAAAAATTAATGATTGAGTCAATTTATTTTATTGATTCAATCAGGAACGGCTCCATTTTCCCAGAAAATTTCGGAATTTCGTACTGTTATTTTTAGTAGTACACTGCACCAATCCAAGTTGTCCTTGCAAAAATGTTGATAACGTCATCACAAAATTGTGTATTAAAGAAAAACATCACCTCGAAAGTGCTGGATATGTTTCATTGTACTTCAGGAGCGAAAGAAGTTCTGTCCGAAACAACTGTGTACCAATTTTTTACATCTATTTTTTCACACATACGAAGGCGAGATAAGTTTTGTCGACCAATTTTTTAAATAAGTAAAATTTTAAAGGCACTAACATCAAAATGCCAAAAGTAATTTCAATCAATAAAGAATGTCAGTCTTCCCAAGAAAAAAAAAGCTTGTGAATGCTTTATATGCTATCAATGCTATCATTCAAAAAAACGATTAAGTCATGTGTCAGGCTATCACATAAAATACAAATTAGTAACAAGAAATAAACGTTTTTTTAAGATACATGATCATTTTCCGGGTTGGAACCGAGTTTTTGGGCTCAACGTTTCGCACACTTTCGTAAGTGGCATCTTCAGGAGCAGGGTTAAGAATAAGGCAAAAGCACGGTAACTCAGTATGTCAACCAACCAGAGGCGAAACTCTTTTTTTTTTTTTTTGTTTTAAGATAATCATATCAAATAAATATAATCTTTTGCTGCACAAACATTATCGACATAGTTTCCTAAAGACAAAATGTTGTTGCCTTTACGATCCCGTCCAAAGCAAGTTAAGGCCTGACAGTCTTGAAAAACCATAAAAGGGGTGCGATAATTTAGGTAATATAAATGTAAACCAGAATACACTATTTTTTGACATTGTACAGAGGATTTTCAAATACAGTTGGAAATTTGACGTTTGATATTAAAATTGCGCGTCGCTGTTATTGTGGTATTTTTGACCTAATAGAATTTCAGGCTAAGCAGTGCACAGTGATGTGCAGGAAGTACCAACTGATTTTAAAAATCCATAGCGTACTAGATATCAAACATTAATGAAAACCCTGTATAAGTATTGATATTTTCAATTATAAATGTTTTTTCCATTGCCTTTTTCACTGATGTTAAGAAATTTGTTTAAGGATAATTTTCAGTGCTATCTAACCTTCGATAATGCGTAAAGAACAGTACTCTTTTAAGCTGATGATCTTTTATGTCTATAGACCATATGCTTCCATACTTAAGACATGCGTTTTTGTTTATCGTGATAGCATATCATTGAACGCGAAAAATCAACCTCTCACTTCAAAATCAAAAGACAAAACGCAGAATACTCCTGTCTGAGATTCTGCCCAAAATTTTTGTACATTAGCT